GTACTTGGGAGGATTAAGGCAAGAGAACCGCTTAAACCCAAGAGTTTGAGGTTGCTGTGAGCTGTGACATCAAGGCACTCTACCCAGGGCAACAGCTTGAGACTCTGTCTCAAAAAAAAAAAAAAGTAGGTTTTAGAGGCCAGGCACAGTAGCTCACACTTGTAATCCTAGCACTTTGGGAGGCTGAAGTGGGAGGATTGCTTGAGCTCAGGAATTTGAGACCAGCCTGAGCAAGAGCTAGACCCCCATCTCCTCTAAATATAGAAAACCTAGCCAGGAATCCTGGTGGGCACCTGTAGTCCCAGCTACTTGGGAGATGGAGGCAAGAGGATCTCTTGAGCCCAACAGTTTGAGTTTGTTTTGTTCTATGATGGCACCACAGTACTCTACCCAGGGCAACAGAGTGAGACTCGTTCTCAAAATTTAAAAAAAAAAAAAGCAAGCCTGGTGGTGCCTGTGGCTCAGTGGGTAGGGCACCGGAAACATAACACCCAAGCTGGTGGGTTCGAACCTGGTCTGGACAACAATGACAACTACAGCAAAGAAATAGCTGGGTGCTGTGTTGGGCACCTGTGGTCCCAGCTACTTGGGAGGCTAAGGCTAGAAAATTGCTTATTTAAAAAAAAAAACACGGGGTGGCACCTGTGGCTCAAAGGAGTAGGGCACCAGCCCCATATACCAGAGGTGGAGGGCTCAAACCCGGCCCCAGCCAAAAACTGCCAAAAAACTGAAGAAGCATTTTTAGGATCATAGCAAACTGGGTGGAAAGTACATAGTTCCCATAAATTCCCTGCCTCCACACACCCACAGCTTTTCCCACTATCAACATTCAGCACTAGAGTGGGACATTTGTTACAATTGGTGAAGCTACATTGACACATCCCACAGGGCTGGGGAACTTGCTGGTCTCAAGGTCACACGTGGCCCTGCAGATCCCAGAGTGCAGCCCTTTGGCTGAATCCAAATTTCACAAAACAAATCCTTTTTTTTATTTTTGAGCCAGTCTCATTATGTTACCCTCTGTAGAGTGAGGTGGCACCACAGCTCACAGCAACCTCAAACTCTTGGGCTTAAGCGATTCTCTTGCCTCAGCCTCCCAGTAGCTGGGATTACAGGCGCATGCCACAGCGTCCAGCTATTTTTTTGTTGCAGTTGGCCCTGGCCAGGTTTGAACCTGCCAGCCTCAGTGTATACAGCTGGTGCTGAGCCAGAACAAATCCTTTTAATAGCATTTGCATTAATAGCTGGGCCTGTAATCCCAGCACTTTGGTAGGCTGAGGTGGGAGGATTGGTGCTTGAGGCCAGGAATTTCAGACCAGCCTCCATGCCATAGTGAAACTTAATCTCTAAAATAAAAAATAAAATAAAATAAATCACAGCATGCAAACTGTAGAAAAGAATATTTTATTGAAACAGTTTCTCAATTAACAATGGAGCAAAGTACAATTTGACTCAAACCTGTCCAACCAGCTTCAACTGCTAAAGAACTCAAAAACATATAAGGGGAGAGAGGGGATGGAAACCTTAAGTCCCATCTCTGCCAATGTGGCAAAAAAAAAAAAAAAAAAAAGACAAAATGACTGACACAACTATGTTAGGTTTGCTCTTTTCCCGAAGCTGGGCCAGTAGCTCTAGCTCCTGCTACAGACGGAATACTGGAGGACGGGCACCCTAGACCTCAGCATGGTGAGCAGGGCCGCTCCAAACCTAGCAGAGCAATGGAAGGCTAGCCCTGACCTTCCTTCACCCACAAAGCTTGCCTCAAAGAGGTGGCAACTTTACATTCACACCATGTGGTCTTCCCCCAGGGTCTTGGGATAGGGGCTCACAGTAGAAAGCACATTTTGGTCAGCCCAGGGTTGAGGGAGGGGTGAGAAAGGATCTGTCTGGAGGGGCAGGACAGCAGGAAAGAAAAGGGAGCAGGTAGTTACAGGTACCTGGGCTGCCAGGCTGCTGGAAAGATAAAGATTTTGACAGAGCCTGCAGGTTGCTGGCATCTCACACCATCCACTCCCCATGCCCCCAAAAGCCCACAGATGGGAGAGCCAGGGCTTTCACGCATGGCGCTCAGAGGCAGGCGGTAGATTCCCTTCTCTTTGTCCCAACCTATTCTGGCCACTAGGGTCATCCACACAGGTGGGAACACATTTAGACTTACTTCAGCCACTCCACATGAAGGGCTTTGGGCAAGAGGCAGAGAACCATTCAACTTACACCAGGAGGTCAAGGAAACCCATGGGAAAAGCAGCCAGATGGGGGTGGGTGTATTCAGGGAAAGAGAAGACCATGGAGGGAGAAAAGAGCATAGATAGGCACTCAGAAACCAAACTAGTCACCAAGGCCCCGCAGACACTGGCACGAACGGGATGTTGCTGTCGTGGTGGAAGAGGAAAGGAGGGAAGAAGAATGACCAGAGAAGACTGGGAACTCCCCAGTATTCCCACAACATCCTTCTCACCACCAGGTCTCGGTCAACCACTAACAGCCATTCTCTCACCTACCCACAGGCAAAGTATTAAGACATAATAGTGATTTTTCCCAAATTTAGGGCCTAGATGGGTAGGGAACCAGGGGGCAGGACTGGGGAAGAGAAGAATTTCAGTTTTTAAACACAGAGCTACTGCAGAAGGAACCAGTTAGCTGTCTCTTCCTTCCCCTTCCCCACACCTCCAATCACAGGTGAGAGAAAAGGAACTTGAGCTCCCCCCACCAGGGCAGGACCAACCCCTCCCCCCACACTTGATGTTTAATAAATAGAGGTGGTGGGAGAAGGGGGTGGAGATGAATGGGGAAATGGGAGGTGGAGGTTATAGTTCATCATTCTTCAAAGGCCTCTTCTGTCCTGTGGGTCCTGTTGGCTGTTCCTTCTGTTCAGATTCTCCTGGGAGGTGGGGAGAGCAAAGGAGTAACAGCAGGTGAAACACAGGTTAACTGGCCTCAGTTCTTTGCAGAAATTCTCCTCAGGCCCCACCAGGCTTCCCAGCATTCTCCCAGCCCCATCCTCACCTGCTCCAGGACCTCCTAACTCCGGAGGCTCACTGTCTACTGGTTCAGACCCTGTTTGGGGGAAGGAATAGGTTAGTCTTTGCAGAAGGGAGGGGCTGGCCAACTTTTTTTATAAAGCCAAGTAGTAAATATTTTTATAATGTAGGTTACATTTGGTTTCTTTGCCTATTCCTTGCACACACGTGTGCGTGCGTGTGTGTGTGTGTGTGTGTGTGTGAAGCAGGCCCGGGCCAGGTTTGAACCCTGTTTTTAGTAGAGATGGTATCTTGCTTTTTCTCAGGCTGGTCTCAAACTCCTGAGCTCAAGCAATTCACCTGCCTCAGCCTCCTAGAGTGCTAGGATTATAGGCTGAGCACCCCCTTGTCTTTTTTTTTTTTTTTTAAACAACTCCTTAAATAAGTAAAGCTTCCTGGGTGTGGTGGCTCTCACCTGTACCCCATCTCTGCTAAAAATGAAAAACTGAGGCAAGAGGATGGCTTAAGCCCAAAAAATAGACGGATGTTGCTGTGAGCTATGACACCACAGCACTCTACCAAGGGCAACAAAGTAAGACTCTGCCTGTATTTAAAAAAAAAAAAATATATATATACACACACACACACACACACACACATTATATATGTGAAAAGCCCATTCTCGGGTCAGTGCCTGTGGCTCAAGTGGCTAAGGTGCCAGCCACATACACCTGAGCTGGCAGGTTCGAATCCAGCCTGGGCCCAGCAAACAACAATGATGGCTGCAACCAAAAATAGCCAGGTGTTGTGGCTGGCGCCTGTAGTCCCAGCTACTTGGGAGGCAGAGGCAGGAGACTTGCTTGAGCCCAGGAGTTAGAGGTTGCTGTGAGCTGTGATGACAGCACTCTATCCAGGGTGACAGCTTGAGGCTCTATCTCAAAAAAAAAAAAAAGAAAAGAAAAGCCCATTCTCAGCTCGTGGACTGTCCAGAAACAGGCTGTGCCAGACAATTTGCCTACCCTGGCCTAATACAATATACATGTTCCCCACCAGTTTCCCCAACTCACGAGTCTCTGCTTTATCAGGTTCTGAAAGGGGCTTTGCATCTTCAGTCTGGCCTGGAAGGAAACCAGGAGTAAGATATAGCGCAGGAGGGTAAGCAGGCCTTCTCCCTGCCCAGCACAGCCTGTAGCTAGGCACTCTACCCTTACCTGCAGGAGGGATGACCTTCTCCCCCTGGTCACTGGCATTGACGGGAGGCTCTGGCCTGGTCGCATTCTTATCCTTGGGCCTTGGCCGCGGCTTAGCAAACTTGGCCTTATTGAGCAGATACTGTACCTCACGGTCCAGGGCCACCATCTTGGCCTCTATGTCTTTTGAGAGCAACACGGGCTTCTCTGTGGCGGCAAGCTTGGCCTGCTCAGCCACAGTTGCATTCTTCCAGGCCTGTGGATGAGACCAGGACAGGCTCGGAGCTAGCCATAAAGAGAAGAGAGCAGATGTCTCTGACCCAGAGGGAATCACACCCCCAACCAGTTTCAGGCGCTTCCCTCAGACTGCAAATCTCTCCACCACTACTGGCCTCAGCCCTAGCGGGTAGACAGAATACTTAGATGGCATTCAAGGCTCTTCAAACTGCACATTTCCGGCTTACATCCTACTGCTCCAGAGTAACTACAGCTGAATGATTATTCCTTTCTTGCTTCTCAACTTCTGAGCTGTGGCTCATAAAAAGTCCCTAACACATTCTAGAAGTTTCTGTTTCACATGATGAATCAGTCTAACCAAACCCTGGCCCATCTTCTGAGCCCAGCTCAAACCCCAGCTCCTCAAAGCAGCCTTCTCTTTTAACACAGGGAGGGGCTCTGTTGCTTCTCCAGATCAGTGGCTCTTATGGCTATGGGCCTCGTTTGGGACAAATCAAACGTGGGCTGAAATGCAAACATCTTCTGCCTTTACAACTAGGTGCCATACCAAACACAGCCCTTTGACCCTCCCATGTGGCCGAGGATGGCACAGGGCGCCAGCTACATATCCAGGCAAGTATCTACGCAGTGATTACCCAGGTCTCATTGATGACTTTCTCCAGCGTTGTCATCTCTACCTCAGTGAAGATCTGGTCCATCTCTGGGATAAGTCGGGCCCCCCTGGAACCCAGAAGATGATCAGCCCCAGATGAAGGGGCCTGGGGTGCAAGGAACAGGAAGCTAACAGGAATGTGAGTCAGTGGCCTTGGCAGGACTGAATAAAGAAGGTCACAGGCGCCACTCACTTGAGGAACATGCTGGAATGGTTGAGGAGATTATCAAGGGCAGACAGCCGTTCAGGCCACTTCTTGCGCTCTTCCACCCGAAAAAATAGCCCTTGGCATAGCTTCCTTAGCTCAGCCAGCTTCTCCTTCAACATCTGGCGGATGTGAGTGGGATGGGAGAGAGGGGTTGAAGGGATGACAGAGCCTGTGGGCTTGTGTCCCAGCTCTCCTTGCTCTCTTACCCTGGGAGAGCTCTCATCCCACCCACCATGTCCCGGGAGGCCCCTCACCGCTGTGGTGGACCCGAAACCCTCATCCTCCAGCCAGGTGGACGCAGCACTGAGTTTCCCAGAGATCTCCTCACGCTGCTCTTCGGTGGACACTTCCTGGTACTCAGGTTGGTACAGCTTGTCCTAGGGAGGGGCACATGAACAAACGCATGCATGCAGCAAGATCAAGGGCAAGGCTTGCAGAGCCAGATGCCCCAAAACACACGCCTCAAGGGCTAGAGGTGCTGCCCCCCGGCCTACTGACCTGGGTCTCAAAGATGAACGCTTCCAAGCTGTTGGCAGCTTTCTCCCGTTCCTGCTTCTCCAGGTCTCGGAGTGTCAAGTCCTGAAGCCTGAGGGACAAAGAAGGGGCAGGGAAGAGGGAGGGCAGGTTAGAACTTGGACCCTACATCCTGCCCAGTGCGCCCATGTGTGGGAAAACTGAGGGTCCTTACTTCTGTACCGAACGAGCCAGCTCATCCTTTGGCAAATCTGGCAGGTCCAAAACAACCAGCTCCACTCCGATCTCCTCTACCATTTTCTGCTTCCTGGCAGGCTTCTGCTTCTTTTCTTCCTCTGGGGTTGGAGGGATGCCCTCAGGCCCTGCCTCCCCCTTCTCACTTGGCTTCTGGGTGGGAAGAGTCAGTAACGTCAGGAAAAGACTTAGACCTTCTACATTCTCCATTGGGCAAGAAACAAAGTAGGCTTCCTGGGCCAGATGAGGTGGCTCACACCTGTAATCCCAGTATTCTGGGAGGCTGAGGAAGGCGGACTGCCTGAGGTCACAAGTTCCAGACCAGACTGAGCTAGAGGAGACCTCGCCTCTAAAAATAGCTGGGTGTTGTGGTGGGTGCCTGTAATCCCCGCTACTCTAGAGGCAGAGACAAGAGAATCGCTTGAGCCCGTGAGTCTGAGGTTGCTGTGAACTATGCCATGACACTCTATCAGGGGTGACAAAGTGAGACTCTGTCTCAAAAAAAAAAAACCAAAAATAAAAACGCAAAAAGGTAGGCCTCTACTCCCTTAGCCTCTGGGTCTATACCAGCCTTACTCTACTCACAGCTCACCTGGGCCTCTGCCTTGAATGCATTCTCTTCTTCTGAGACCTTTTCTTCCTCAGGGGCTGTGTCCTCCTTAGGCCCAGGGGTTGGGGGCTGAGAAGTGTCTTCCACTGGGGCCTCGCCTTCCTCCTTGAGCTCCACTTGCTCCCCAGGCTCATCCTTGCTCCCCTCTGCAGGGCTCTCCTCCTCCTGTGAAGTAATCACAGGCACCCCACACACAGCAATCACGAGCAGAGCCCATGGGTCAGGCCCAGCCTTAGCAACATCAGATCCCTAAGGCTCTTGCTTTGAATTTGAAGGTGCACCTCTCAGGACACAACTTGGGGGCAGATAGGTGACAGTATGGCTGTATGGAAGAGGTCTCAGTGGGCTTTATGGACTACAGTGGTATAGTTGGATATAAGGAGAACACATGGAGCTGGAGGACAATGGGGCTTGGAGTTCTGGTACAGGGAACAGTTCAGAGCCCAGTATCTGAGATTAACTCATCATGGGCCATGAGGTGGAGGAGGCCCACCCCAGGTGTCACTGCCTGCTACCACACTCCCTCCGCCATGCTCCCTGGCTCCATCCTGAGCTCACCTGGACAGTATCAGTACCGTTCTCTTTGGCATCTGGTGAGGTACCACCTCCAAATAGGCTGGAAATGGTGTTGCCAAGTTCTAGGGGGAAGAAAGCCCAAAGACTCAAAAGCGGACCACAGCAGTGACTCTACTTCCCACGATGCCCGTCCACCTGCCCAAACTGCACACAAGTGTATTCTCTCTCACACACGAATGCACACTCTTCTTACTGGTCAGTGTCGATTCTTCTTCTGGGTTGTCTTCCACCAGTGTCTCGAATACAGACTCCACCTGAAAATACGTTCAAATTATTATTACTATTTTTTTCTTTTTGAGATAGAATCTCACTTTGTCGCCCTTGATAAGAGTGCCATGGTGTCCTATCTCACAGTAACCTCAAACTCCTGGGCTTAAGTGATTCTCTTGCCTCAGCCTCCCAAGTACCTGGGTCTACAGGCACCTGCCACAATGCCTGGCTATTTTGAGAGATGGGGGTCTTGCTCTGACTCAGGCTGCTCTCAAACCTGTGAGCTCAGGCAATCTACCTGCCTCAGCCTCCCAAATGCTGGGATTATAGGTGTGAGCCACCATGCTCAGCCTCAAAATAGGTTCAAATTAAAGAAACACACACACTAGGCTACCTTTTCTCCACAAACACCCTACTGAAGTGGGTGTGTGTTTATGCATACCCCATGACTTGCAGCTGTGCAGGCCTGGCCTGATCTGACTCGTGTACACACTCATGGACTTGGCTTGGCATCTGTGGCTCAAGTGGCTAAGGCGCCAGCCATATACACCTAAGGTGGCAGGTTTGAATCCAGCCTGAGTCCGCCAAACAACGATGGCTGCAACCGAAAAAAAATAGCCAGGCATTGTGGAGGGCGCCTGTGGTCCCAGCAACTTGGGAGGCGGAGGCAGGAGACTCGCTTGAGCCCAGGAGTTGGAGGTTGCTGTGAGCTATGCCACGGCACTCTACCCAGAGCTTGAGGCTCTGTCTCAAAAAAAAGATTCATGGACTCACCTGTCAGTTAAGACTATGAGCCCTCTGAGGACAGAATCATAGCTTCCTCTTCCCCCCTCAGAGCTCCGTACTTCTCCACCCATTATGAACTGCCATTTCCCCTACTATGTTCTAAAGATACTAACCTACAGACCTGCTCTTCAAAAATGAGTTCCTCAATCATCCCATAGTTCCTGCTAAGATATTTACACTGTCCATAAGCACTAATAGTTTATGTTAGCCCACACCAGGTGATCGTTCAGATGTGTTTAGAACCAAGATTTGTCTGATTCTCAAACTCTGATGATGTCTTTTTTTTTTTGAGACAGAGTCTCACTTTGTTGCCATCAGTGGAGTGCCCTGCTATCACAGCTCACAGAAATCTCAAACTCTTGGGCTCATGTAATCCTCTTGCCTTAGGCTCCCAAGTAACTAGGACTACTGGCGCTCCCTACAACTTTTAGAAACAGGGTCTTATGGTTGCTCAGGCTGCTCTCGAACTTTCCAGCTCAAGTGATCCACCTGTCTTGGCCTCCCAGAGTGGTAGGATTACAGGCATGAACCTTCACACCTGGCCTGGTGATCCTGACTTAATATCACATGGAACTTGCTTTGGAAAAGACTGGCAGGGCCAGCTCGGCGCCTGTAGCTCAAGCAGCTAAGGTGCTGACTACATACACCAGAGCTGGCAGGGTCAAATCCAGCCCGAGCCTGGCAAACAACAATGACAACTACAACCAAAACATATTCAGGCACTGTGGCTGGTGACTGTAGTCCCAGCTACTTGGGTGGCTGAGGCAAGAGAATTCCTTAAGACCCAGGGAAGAAAGGGAAGAAAGAAAGAGATGAATTGTGGATTGTGACAAGTAGACAATATGGTTTGAAGCTATGTACAACTAATGGGTGGAGGGCAGGAGCCAACCAGAAATAGGTCAGGTGTGTGTGCAGGAGGATAAAGCTGGCCTGGAAATGTGACATGAAAAAAAAAAACAAGAACAAAGAGAATCGCTTAAGCCCAAGAATTGGGGGTTGCTGTGTGCTGTGAGCTGTGCCTGTCCCGCACCTGAGATGAGGCTCTGTCTCTAAATAAATAAATAATAAATAAAATAAAGGCTCGGCGCCTGTGGCTCAAGCGGCTAAGGCGCCAGCCACATACACCTAAGGTGGCAGGTTCAAATCCCCAGCCCGGGCCCGCCAAACAACGATGGCTGCAACCAAAAAATGGCCAGGTGTTGTGGTGGGCGCCTGTAGTCTCATTTACTTGGGAGGCTGAGGCAGGAAACTCGCTTGAGCCCAGGAGTTGGAGGTTGCTATGAGTGTGATGCCATGGCACTCTACCCAGGGGGATAGCTTGAGGCTCAGTCTCAAAAAAAAATAAAAAATAAAAAATAAAAAAATAAAATAAAATAAATAAAATAAAAAAAGACTCCCAGGGCCTGAACCCTTGGCTGCACCCAGGGTCTCCTTTTGCTCTCACCCTGTCTAAACTGAGCACACCACTCTCATCCAGGTTGAAGTGAGCCTTGATGCCCTTGGACTCGTAGTCAGGATACTTCTTGAAGCTCTCAGCCACACCTTTTAGCTTCACTGTGGTCAGATTTGGGGAGCCAAATACCCTGGTTGGGGAGGAAAGAGGAGTTCGAGGAGACCCACCTTCAATTCTAAACTACATAGACTCCTAGCACAAGATGTCAGGGCCCTCCTCCTGGACACAGTCAGGCAGATAGACACATTCTTCAGAGAAGCTGCTTATAACCTAACCCTAACCCACTGCCTGCTGCCCCTGTCGTAGCCCTTTGACCCCCACTTCCTCCTTCACCTTCAACCCTCACATCTTCTGCAGCCATGCTGCCTCCTCCCTGGAGCTCCTACCCTATCTCCCTTGCCCTTTACCGAAGTTCCTCTGGCCCCAGGAAGCCCAGGTCTCCATAGTTGATATGGAAGTTGAAATCATGGCTATAGCGGTTAAAGGTTATGACTTTGCGTTGAGGGTAGGGTCCCATCCGGGAGAAGAGAACACGTTTATTATGCTTCAGGCTACGAACCCCAGGCTCTTCCTCCACCTCCCTGGTGAACTCCACCTACACAGCAGGCAGAGAGAAAGCAAACAGGTTCTCAGGCGGGGGCCAGGCAAGGTGGGGGAATCTGGTAGCAAAAAGATCAAGGGCAGTAGGAGGAAAGACCCCCCTTGGAGAGGCAAAGGGAGCCTGTTGCCTGATCAGTCAGGGTTACTCACCAAGATAGGGTAGACCACTGCATCTCGGACTACAAATGGCTTCACCTTGAAGGCTTTGCTCAGTGCAGCTGCCTGGTACACAGCTCCCATGGCGGCCGCTTCATCTGCATTGATGTTCTTCCCTAGCTCCTCCCTAGGAAAGTTCTAAGCTTCAGCACTGTCAGTACTGGAGCACTCAGCCTGGACTCCCTCCCCTCAGCCCTGCAGCCCCATCCCAGGCAGAACTAGGTCTAATGCCACTGCCCCCACACTCACTTGCCCACGGCCTTCAGCAGCACCTCCTGAACCTTGGGGACTCGAGTGGCCCCACCCACCAGGATCACCTGCTCGATCTCATCCTGCCAGGAGGGGAAGAATGAGGGCTGGGGCAGCAGGAAGTTTTTTTTTTTTTTTTTTTTT